CCAATCCATCTCCACTTTCTCCTGCATATTTGTTGGGCGAGTGACTGGTTCTTGTGTTGTTTGTTCCCATAGTTGTTGATGCTGAGTGATAAAGATTTCCAGATTGGTTTCAGGTTGATGAATGTGTTTCTCGAATTGACATCCTCGTCCGTTCTGACTGCCTGTAGTTGAGACAATACTCCCTAGATAAGTGAGTGAATGAAGTAACTTCTTTCAAATTCCTCCCGTTGATGGTGATTGGTGCTGGACGTTTCTGCTGTTGTTCTTGTTGGTTGGTTGGTAATTTTCATTTTTTATATTTTTGATTGCAGCTTGATTTCACACCGTATTTTTTGGTACAGGTATGGAATTTTCAGCATGTGATATCGGTAGCCTGAATTTCGCAGGCCGACCATAGTATCAGGTGTGCGTCGGCAGGGGATCGAACCCCGGACCATATGCATGATCGGCGAGAGTCCTAACCACTGTGCCAGCGACGCACACATAACCTCCGTCTTGTCTATGTTCGCCTGGAGTCCTGTCTTCGCCGACTGCTTCTTCGACTAGCTTGTCTGTTTTCGCTTGTAAGTCTTTGATTTTGTGACAGCGACATCAAACATAAATCATCCACGGGAGAAATCCAGGTCTTCTAGGTTCTTCAAGTCGGTAGGTCCGGGATATCCCTGTCTTCTGGTTTCCCACTGTCTGACGCATAATCCAGTCAATCCACGACAATTAGGAATATCATTGGTGATAATAAGTACCCTTGGAAGTATGTGGATGGTTGTTAATTCCCGGCTGCTCACACCGTGGAAGTTGAGTGATTCTCCGGGTACCTGAAACAGAAAGAGGGGGTTAGTGTTGTGTGACCGCAGAGCCCAGGAGACGAGTGCTTGATACTGGCCGCTCACACACGGCCTGTATGAACTGGTTTTTCGGATTGGTTTCGTATTAGTAAAGTTGTCGCCGATTACGGACCACCGTAGGAAGGGGGTAAGTCGGAATGTACAATTGTTAAGGTCAACCTTTTCTAGCCTCCTTCCTCTCTCCAGAGTGGAGAGACAGCGTAGCTGACTGGCATTCTGATCATAATGTAAACAACTCTTACACTAAGGCCGTCACTGCTTTTAGTCCTGTCATGGTAGGACCTGCAGCAACGATAGTTTCAGGCAGTATAGCTTGTTAGGTCATTGCGATGTGCAAGCTCGACCACCACATGTCAAGGTAGCAGCTATCGGTCACTCCTTGTGACTTATAATATCCAATAAATCTGTATTGTTCTTCGTTATTACTATTCTTTTTGTCTCATATCTCTGTTTAGTGTCACTGTTTCCCATTTCTTCCACTTTCTTTTCTTGCTTTGTGTGGTACATGAAGGGAGTGTAGCAACTTGAACTGCTACACATCGGTGGAAAGTTCTATGTCGAAAACAGACAGACAGACAGTCAGCTGTCTAGGCTAGACTGTAAGCTTTCAGTGATGAGTGGATTAAGTTTGTGAGTTTTAGGCGTTACCAGCGGGGTATACGGATGACTTGTCGACTCAACTTAATTTGAAGAACAGAGCGTGTGCAATGATGGTGTGGATTATGTTAATCCTATCCAGTTGTTTTGAATTTCGTATGGAGCAGGATTTGAACCCAGAACCGATTGACTGAAAGTCGTACGCTTAAGCCAATGGTCACACAATATGTGATTCACTCTTAATGTCAATCAAGAAAGCAAGCAAAATGGTGTTGGTGATGGTGGTGGTCCTCATGGTGTATATCGCCTACTGATTGATTTGTCGACATGAACATTTGAAAGTCACTGAGGTCGAACCGTAGTGTTTGATGGTCAGATAGTCAGAAGTGTTTCAAAACATTGCGACATCGTTTCATTCGCTTAGAGAGGGACGTGATGATCAGCGGTGTGTGATATGTTTAACTCAGTTCAGAGACCTGTCTGTTACTTTAATGTAAGAATAGAAGTTGAGCACTGTGGCAGAGAATCTAATTTCATATATTAGATAAGATTTTTTTTAAATATCACACACAATGGGTGTACAGTTTTAATAACTTGATGACAAAGTTTCGAGCATAAATTATTGCTGCTCATAATTATATCAATTTAGTCACAGTGAAAAACAGCTAGCCAGACTTTTCATGTCTTCCACTTTCAATGAATATGTCTCACTCACAGTCCTAAAGGAGGATGGATAGATCTGTTGAACAGTGACAGCTAGATAATATCATGTCTGCGCTAGATATGGTGTAAGTTGGCGAACGCCAAACGAGACTGAAATTCATACACCTATGTGGGCTGCATTTTAATTAACCAACTTTTTTTTACATTTTTTCCATTCACATGTTTGTTATCATAACGTATTATTCGTGGGTCACTACAAAGTATTTAGAATGAAGGACTATACATCTCTTATTTCATTTATATCCTGTTGTATTATGTAATCTAGAGTTAGCTAAGTTCTGTATACACTCGATGAGTTAAAATTCACTTGGTGTGGCTCTTGTATAATACCTCTTGGTAGGTAAAGTTTGAAGACGTGGCCGTGTGTGTGTGTGTGTGTGAATAGTGCTATCTGACTAATTCTGCTCAAAACTGTCAAAGGGAGAAAGACATTCATGGATAAGCGTACTTTTTCAACTGTCAGCTAACTGACTGAATGATTAAGTTTCTATATAGAGCTTTCATATTAGGTAAGTTTATTTTCATAATCACACACAGTGGGTGATGCAGTATTAATAACTGGATGACACAAGGTTTCGAGTACAAAATTATTGCTGTTCATAATCATATAAGTTTAGTCACATGGCTTCACAATTGGTCTCTCTTTCTATCTATCCAACTTCCCTTTGTTGTATTTGTTGCCACTTTCCATATCTCCGGTATCATAGGCAGGCATTGCTGCATTCCAATTGCATATGTGCGGTGTTGAATCGATAAACAAAGCTTCAGTGAATAAACTCTTTCTCTCTCTCTCCACCTAACTATATTACTTTTTAGTACTCTCACTCTGTCCCACTCATCCTATTTTGTGATTACATGCAAGGGAATGCAGTGCAGTGGAATGGCTGAGCTTTTTTCTAGGTTATTTAACTTACTTAGCAGGGTCAATTATTCTACTGGGTCTAGCTAAATTTTCATGTTATAATTATCCTAGCTGACCTCATTTATACTCATTCGATGGTATTTGGTAAATTATATTATTTCTCCTAATTGGGTCTGTTGGGTCCTTAAGCTGAAAAAGTTGATCTCTGAGAGGTTTGGTTGGTTGGAGGGTTTGTTTTAACGCCACCCCGACTAATTCCAGCATCATTATGAATTCTATGTAAATCCTCTGATGTCCCCTTGTTTATACGGTAGTTCTACAGAGTATTTATTTATTTAAACGCAGAAAAGAAACTTGGTACATTATGGCACCAAGAAAGATGCGCCACACTACATTTGTTGTGTGAGGGCTGAGATACTGCCCAGGCGCTCAGACCGAAGCAGGTGGTTTTCTTAAGGGACCACCCTCGAGCCTTTGACTTGAAGTCTAATCCGAAAGGCAGCGGAGCAGCGTCAGGAGCTGCATTCCCATGGTTTCCGGTGACCCATATGGGTTCATACGCCATTTGATCCGATTGGATTCTGGAGCCCATGTACCACATGGTAACTGCTTTTAGTTTAACCGCTATCCAACAACCTTCCTGACATGATAGGACCTGCAGGAACATGAGTCCCAGCCAGTTTAGCTTATTGGGTCATTGCGGTATTCAAGCCCGACCATCACGGCAAGGTAGTAGTTGTCGGCCGGGAGTTCTACAGAGGCTTTAAATTCTATAATATTTTCGTCATTTTCTTTGCTAGTGTTAGTTTTTCTATAGTTCTTCATATATTTCTAAATAAATTCTGGTGGGTAGGGAGTTATTTACTGGTAATATTTCCCTGCATTTGTTTCATTTGGTTTATTTAAATCTTCTGACCTACTAGTTAGCCTTCGATAGCTTAGATATATAGCTTCGATTTAACTAATTAAAAATGCCCATTACAATTTTCAAAAGAAATGGATACTGAATAATGAATATTCATATTTTTGATAACTTCATCATCAGGCTCTACAGTTATATATATACATTATAGTGAATGAATGAATGAATGAATTAGTGTTATGAACAACATTAATGTTGTTCAAATAAGATCTAACCAATCAGTAATAAAGTGCGTTGGTGGCACAGCGGTTAGGACGCTCGCCGATCAAGCACATATTCCGGGGCTCGATCCCCGGCCGCCAACGCACATGTTTACTTCGCTAAACCAGAAATAATGCTGGTAAAGAGGAAAGGTTGGGCATGAGGCTGGCTAGCAACCCCATTCTGTAAAATTAAACACTGCTACAGAAACTTCAAGCCACTAGCTTGAGGCCGTATGTTCCACTGAGGAACGTGAAGGGAAAAAACTGAAGGCCAGCCGGGGCAGTAGAAGTGGCCGGTTGAACTTTTTTCTTTTGAACACAGAGCACTGGTTGTTTGAGGCGAATTGCAATAGCCTCTGCTGTTTGGAGCATGCGGTACCTGAATGTTTTTGGCAATTTATTAGTCACCCGGTAGAGAAGGATTCTTCTACGCTAGCTTCGATTTAGTTTAGCATGCACTACTGGTTGATGATGTAAGTGGCTTCTAAGTCACTCATAACTCAGTCATGTTTTCATATAACATGTATAGACTAGTTATTGTTGTGCACTATTTTTAAAAAAATGTTTTTATTTATTTGGATTGTAGCTTGATTCCATATAGTATTTTGATAAAAGTGTGGAAATTTTCATTATGTGATATCGGTAGCTAAAATTTACCAGGCCGACCATTTAAATTAATATCAGGTATGCATTGGCTGGGGATCGAACCCCCCAGACCATATGAATAGTCGGCGAGCGTCCTAACCGCCGCTACGCCTTTGCCGACGCACGTTATCTTAGTATTCATTGAAATGATATGTATATTTCTGAAATTATGTTGTTCTTGTGTTTTTGTTTATCCTTTTCAGAGTCAATCTGTATTCGATGTAGCTGACAAAGATATGATTGTATTGCTTAGACAACTTCGTGAAAGACAAAGAGCTGTAAGTTTTTAGCGTGTCCCATTTTTTGTAACTTGTTGTAATACCTATTAATGTGCGCTGATACAAGAAGTCTGTCAGTAGTGCTGTGGTTTGATTCGTTTTGTTTGTTTTTGTGACTGTAATGTAGTGATGACTTTTCCTGTGGTTGGATCTATTTTATGCGATGTGCTATATTGTGTGTTATAGCACTGACACAAGTCTGTGGATGTGGATGGATGCCAGACCTGGCCATTGAGAGTGGAAGACATGAAAAGGTCGACTAGCTTTCTTTGATTATAGGTGCCTGCGTTCCATCTCCCGTGTGTGGTGTAATATGGTAAGCAGTATTTTGGTTAGGTGTTTGTCGAGTGCTAGGTAAATATAGGAGGGGAAATCAAGAGACGAGGCTGTGAAGCTACATAGACTGAGATGGTTAGGACATGTGTTAGGTATGCCTGCCTACCCATCGCCTTCCTTGATAATGGACAGTGTTAGCTGACTGACATAGGGTCAGGTTGAAAAAGATCCAGTGGTAGTCAAACCAAAACATGGCTTCATCAAACGATGAAATCCAAAACAGTTAGTTTAAGCCAGTCAGCCACGTAGGAAGATGTAGACCGGCTGACTGGTTGGGGTCCTCGGGACGGTAAAAACCAATGAAGGCTGGAGAAATTGGTGATATGGATCAAATTCATCGTTCTCGATGGCTGGTGCAGATGCATCCACTCCTTGTGGCTTAAAATATCTATATTACTATTCTTTTTGTCTCATATGTCTGTTTACCGTCTGTGTTTTGCGTTTCTTTTTGCTTTCTTCTTCTTTTCTCTGGCTTTGTGTGCTGAGTGAAGTGTGGCGACTCGAACTGGTGCATGTCAGTGCAAAGTTCTAGGTTGAAACCAGTCAGTCAGTCAGTGGTTATCCTCATCACTTTCGTCTCTTCTGTATGTTCACTTGATCTCCCGTCTTTTCTGCTTCTTCTGCCAATACACTCGTTTTCGCCTGCAGATCTTCGAGTTTGTATGACAGTAAACATAAATCGTCTACGATGTCCGAATCTTCTAGAATCTTCCTGTCAGCCCAGGGTATTCTTATCTCGTTACCCAGTTCTTTCAATGAGTTTTTCGTTGTGGCTCACTTGACATTGTGACGACATCATTGTATAGCTATAAGATGAGGTTAAGGCAACAAGTTGGTAGAAGAAGCATCAAAGATAGGACTTCAGGTAAACATAGAGAAAACAGAGGTAATGATGAAGCTTCCTGGCCAACAGCGGACAACAATCAGCCAGCATAAATGGGAGGAATCTGAAAGAAGCAACCGATTTTAGCTACCCAACCTGCGAAGCATCGTTTCAACTACAGCTGGACGGAACTGATTAGGATATCTAAGCAGCGAGGATCGGGAAAGCAACGCAAGCTTTCATTACGCTCAAATCTGTGTGGACATCAACAGCCATACTCAACATGGAAAATAAGATCCGGATATTCAACTCCAATGTGAAGTCAGTCAGTGCTACTTACTATACGGATCAGAGACTTGGCGCCGTGTCACGAAGGTCACATCGAACAAACTACACACCTTCATCAACAGCTAACTGTCTTCGCACAATACTTCGCTCAAGATCAGATGGCTGTCCAGAAAACATCAGCAACTGGAATTTCTGGCAGTGAACCAACGAATTAATCCAGCAGGAACCGATTTTGCAACAAATATGCAGGAAGAAACGGAGGTAGGTGGATTGGCTGTCCATGCTCGGAGAAAACAAACCATCAAGTGAGTTACATCACACTTCAGGCCATTGCTCGAGTGGAATCCCAATGGAATGGGAAACGGCGAGTCGGACGTCAGTGCGAAGGTGACGTGAAGGAGGAGGAGGTGATGTGAAGAGGAGATGAAAGCATGTGGGCAGACATGGAGCCAGGTGAAAACGTTTGCAGAGAACCGAGTGCAATGGAGATGTGCGGCTGAAGCCTTTATGTTCCTCTAGGAACTAAAGGAAACACTAAATTAAATAATAATAAATAATGAGATGAGGTTGATAATGTTTTAACCATCTAATTCACTTCTTTTAGCTAATATTGCTCATGAAGGTAACGAAGGAGCTCGTGGTGGCTGGATGGGTGTTGTTTGGAAGTGGTTTTCACAACCCTATTGGTCTACTTACTCTCATGACTTTATCCATACACATCAGACCATATTTGATTGCTATGATGAAAACGGATCTTGAAACGACGATGTTTGGCGAAATTTTTATCTTATGTGAAATGATGACGAAATATTATGCACGTGATGGTATTGTATAGGCGTGTATATGCTACGCATATATGTGGTGTTCGTGTGTGTGGGTGTGTATGTGTTTGTGTGAATAAGTGAAAATAAAATGGGTTAAAAGCTGATTTGTGTCAACGTATAACTGACTCTTTGAAATATGCTACGACTCTCTCTCTCTCTCTCTCTGGGAGATAGAATGCAGACATCTCTGATAAATTACGGCTACCCAGCCTTTTCATAGCTTCTACTTCCAATGACTAGGTTGCACAGCCATATAGGAGGATGCAGTGAACTGCTAAGTAGTAAACACGTCTTTTGGTCGATAGTCAGCCGGATATCACATATACTCCAGAGATGGCTCAAGTTGGCGAATCACACACAAGCTTTTTGTATTCCTTGTTGAGGTTTCGTCGTCAATCATTCCTTTGAGGCTGACACGACTTCCCAATTAAGTAAATTGGTGTACACACGTTTTATTACTTCACTCCGTATCTTCAAGCTAAGGATCAGTATATTCCATTCGTATAGGATTTATTTACATTTGACAGGATACATTCAGAATACTCTGCATTTTACCAGTGTCTTTATTTTGGAGGACTAATGGATCGATATATTATAAGCGAACGGGACTTCTGGTATCGATCCTCTATAAACTCTTACTTGGCTGAATGTTTATTATTATTAGTATTCCCTTGGGTTCCTAGTGGAACATAAGGCTTCAACTGCACGTCTCCACTTACCACTTCTGTCTTGCTTCTGTTGTACTTTTCACCTGCATCCATGTTAGTTCATACTGTTTCAACTCCTCAACTCTTCACACGATCTCCATGTCACCCTTGCACTGACGTCCCACTCGCCACTTCCCTTTCGACCTGGTTCCACTTGAGCAATGGCCTGACGTGTGCGCGACGTCACTCAGCGGCCCGGCCTCATCCTCAGCAAGTGTCCAATCCATCTCCACTTTCTCCTGCTGTATATTTGTTGGTTGGGGGATTGGTTCTTGTTTTGTTTGTTCCCATAGTTTCTTGTTAGTGATTTGACATCCTCGTCCGTTCCTCCGTTCCTGTACCCGAGACAATGCTCCCTAGATAAGTGAGTGAATGAAGTAACCTCTTTCAAATCCCTCCCGTTGATGGTGATTAACGCTGGATGTTTCTGCTGTTGTTGTTGTTGGTTGGTTGGTTGGTTATTTTCATAACCTCCGTCTTGTCTATGTTCACCTGGAGTCTTGTCTTCGCCGGGTGCTTCTTCGAGCGACCAGTTTGTCGGTTTTCGCTTGTAAGTCTTCGATTTTGTGACAGTGACATCAAACATAAATCATCCCCGCGTGAAATCCAGGTCTTCTAGGTTCTTCACATTGGTTGGTCCAGGATATCCCTGTCTTTGGCTGAGTGATTAGTGCGCTGTATTTCTCTCAGCACTCCCTTGACGGCCGAAATCTTCCATAGTATCTCTTGGTCGTTTGCGTCATATGTCACCTTCTGTTTTTTGAATAACATCACATTACAATAGAAGGATTCATAGACGATTAGAAATGAAAAGGATGTGAGTGAAGAAAGTAAGAAAAAAAGATACGCGAAGTGTAATGAACTACCGATTGAAAACCGAATTGGTCAGTTATGCTGACTGGGTTGGTTTCAACGTAGAACTTTGCACAGACGTGTAGCAGCATTTCGCGTTGCCACTCTTCCTCCATGTGGCACACAAAAGCAAGAGAAGAGAGTAAATAGAGGTGAGGTGTGAGTGAAGAAAAGAAAATAGTAATATGGAAGAACAATAGAGTTTTATTTGGATAAGGGAAGTCACAAATAGCCATTGAGAACAATGATTTTGAGCCAATTGTGTCCAGCCCCACTGGTTCTTAGCATTGCTAGGATCCAAACCAGTCAGTCACACACACACAGTCTACACGTCTCTAAACGGCTACCTGGCTGGTTAAGACTAACTGTTGTGGATTTGATTTACTGATGAAGTCATGTTTTGGTTTGACCACTAGTTACTAGCTTTATCTTTCCCAACCTGATTCATTCTATGTCAATCAGCTAACATTGCCTGTTTTCGAGGAAGGTGACGACTGGGCATTCATGGTGTGTGTAACACCTGTCGAATCCATCTTAATCGATGTATTAGCTTCACAACCTCGTCGAGTGATTTCTCCCGCGCCACCCCCCCCTCTTGCCTAGCATTCGATCTATGCCTAATCTCGTTATTGCTCACTTTATTATACCTATGATCAGAAACAGCCAGCCAGCCAGCCAGCCTTTTCGTATCTTTCACTCGCTGTGCGACGGCATCACTGGAGGATGGATATAACGAGTTTCAGTCTCTAAGGCTAGTCCAGTTTTTGCAAAAAAAATATTTGCAGATATGCCTTACTCTTTTATATGTGAGAAAATTATTCTGTCGACCAGTTTTATTCGTGCATCATGTGACGTATGAATAGGATTTATTCAATTTCGAAAAAATATTGGGTTGTATTTATACACGACAGCTGACCAGCAGGGTGCAGTAAGTCGGTGGGTGTGAGGACAAATACTCACCGAAGACATTGGCTAGGGGTCGCGCTATGTTGTGAATTGGCAGAAGTTGGAATTCATTGGTCGGTCATTGGATCGCGTCCCAGTGGCTCATGAGTGGTCTACGCGCTAGATCGCCAGCCTTGTATCCAGGAGGTCCTGGGTTTGAACCCCGTGGCGGGGTGCATACTGCTGGAGAGTCCCAAACTAGGCTGACGAAATAGCTGTCTGGCAGTACTCCCAGCTGGTTTTCCAATGGTTCTCTAACTAATGTCACCGCTCATGATGAAATCCTGTAAATCAATCAACCAAGTCCCTACAAACCAATACTTGAATACTAATATTTCATCTATTATAAATTGCATCTTAAACACCTTGCCTTAATAGTCTACTCTATTGTTCTCCTCTGATTATTTTTTATCTACTTTCAGGAAAGACAATCCAATGCATCGAAAGTACCAGATTTAACAAGTAAACCAGTGGAAGCAATTAAACGGAGGTAATTATTACACTTATATGCACATAGCTATATGATTATTATTATTTTTTTATATGTTTTGTCTACAATCCTCTACTGGATTCTTCTTTATTGTGATATCGTTGTGTTAATCAATTCCGCTTTAATTCTCTGTTTATCCATGAATTTCAACACTAGACACTAATTAGTTGCTCGGCCCTACATATGTGAGAAATAATGATTACTACTCATTGTGTTGGTGGCACAGCGGTAGAATGGTCGCTGACCATGCCTCATGTGATCCGGGGTTCGATCCCTGGTAGCCAACTCACTCCTTTACCTCGTTAAGCCAGTAATAAGATGTTGACCACTTCATCTATTTGGGAAGTTGTATTAGCACCAACGGACTGATTGGCGATGAAATCTCAGCACGGATCCGAAAAGTTCGAGCTGCTTTCGCTGACTTACACCATCTCTGGCGTAGGCGTGATATCCGGCCATCAACCAAGGGACGTGTGTACTGCTCTGCCCAGCAGTTCGCTCCATCCTTCTCTATGGCTCTGAAACATGGCCAATACGAGTTGAAGACATGAAAAGGTTGACTGCTTTCGATCATAGATGTCTACGATCTCTTTCTCACGTTAGGTGGTTTAACAAGGTAAGTAATGTTGACGTTAGGCGTAGAGTGTTGGGCAAAGAGGGAAAATCAATCGACGAGGCTATAAAGTTACATGGATTGAGATGGCTAGGTCACGTGCTGTGCATGCCTAACCATCGCCACCCCCCACCGACGGGCATTACTAGCTGATATAGGTGCAGGTTGGAAAAGGGTAAGTGGTGACCAAACAAAAACATGGCCTCATCAATCCATGAAATCCTTGACAGTTAAACTGAGTCAGGTAGGTAGGGAGATGCAGACTCCCGGGTTGGGGCCCTCAGGACTCTAAGGATCAATGGCTGGAGACAATAGATGACATGGCTCAAAATCGTTGTCAATGGTCAGGGCAGATGTATTTAGTCTCTGTAATCTTTTATATTCCTTTCTACCACTACCCATTCTGTTTCACTCATACCTGTCAAACTCTGTTGATTTTCTTTACTCATCTTCTTGTCTACCTCTGTGTGCTATTTGGAACGTGGCAACTCGAACTGGTGCACTTCGGTGCGAAGTTCTATGTGGAATCCAGACAGACAGACAGAATAAGATTGGTAAAAAGGCAAGGTTGGATATGAGGTTGGCTAGTAACCCCATCCTGTAAAAATAAACACTACTACTGTTGCCGAAACTTTAAGCCTCTAGATTTAGGGCACCCTATGTTCTACTGGGAGCGTAAAGAAATCAAAAAAGTGAGAAGTCCTGAGGAGTGCAAGGACCAACATGTCGGACCACAGACTCATCGATCATATAGGTTAGCGATTGCTCTAAATATCATGAATCTATAGAAGTTGAAATTCATGAACCCGGAGGATTCGATCACCTCTCCCAAAAATTTCTAATCCTCACCCTCTGTGGGGTGGGCACCTATACTGCTTAGTTGTCTTACTTAGAATAGTAAATCCACCATTTTTTTTAAGACCTGTGTCTTTTTTTTTTAAATAAGAGTCACCTGAAATATTGTGTAGGTGAGACAGTGAAGTGGGTGTATAAATTGAAGTTGTTCACTATGATAATAATCATTAATAATAAAACTTATTTACTGATATTGTTTTGCTCAAAGTCGATCAAAGTTCTAAAAATAGCAGTACTACTACTACTACTACTACAACTTCTTGAGTGATTTCAATGGTTGACAAATAAATTTAAATAGTTTTGTAATGATTTAACACTTATGTGATAGACAGAGCACGACTGATACTTAAACGCCTTTTTTTCATGTGAGTCAGCAGAACTTAAAAAGAGCTAAGTGAATATGATACACGCACACGTACACACACACAGGCACACTCACGCACACCCGAATGACTCATGTGCGTAACACAGTTAGAAACCACTTGACACACAAGCGCACACAAATACAAGCATGATTATTTACTGGCGAGATTTGTTCTCAGTCACCCTTACTGTCTGCATGACTGCCTGTCTCTTTCATCTCACAAATAATAATAATAATAATAATTTTCAAGTATTGGTTTTGTAGGGATTTTGTTTGTATGCATGGAAGATTTCATCATGAGCTGACATCAGTTAGAGAACCACTGGAAAACCAGCACTGGAGTACTGGACAGCTGTTTCGTCCTAGTTTGGGACTCTTCATCAGTACGCATCCACCACCACAGTTCGAACCCAGGACCTTCTGGTTACAAGGCTAGCGAGCTCGTAGACCATTGAGCCACTGGGACCCGATCCAATGGTCCTTGAATTCTAACTTCTGCCAGTTCACGACATAGCGCGACCACTTCGCAATGTCTTCTTCGATGAGTTACTGCCTCATCTTCAACCTGCTGTACCCTACTGGTCACTGCTTCCCACTAGAACCCCAGGTTAACTGCCTGAATAGGCCAGTCACTAGTGAGCATCAGAGTAATTTTCAAGTATTGGTTTTGTAGGGATGATAAAGATGAAGCAGTAACTCATCGAAGAAGACACTGCGAAGTGGTCGCGCTATATCGTGAAATGGCAGAAGTTAGAATTCAAGGACCATTGGATCGGGTCCCAGTGACTCAATGGTCTACGAGCTCGCTAGCCTTGTAACCAGAAGGTCCTGGGTTCGAACCCCTGTGGGTTTGACCACCACATGCTAGCTTTTTTCCAACCTCGCCCTATGTCAGCTAACATTACCTGTCGTCAAGGTAGGCGATGGCTAAACATACATGGGTAGCACATGTCCTAACCATCTCAATCGGTGTAACTTCACAACCTCGCCTCATGGATAATAGCCGCTTGACTTCTAAATACAAATTGGTTGGCCAAGTGTTCGAACACCGCCTGACCCCACCCGACTCAACCAAGGTTTGGGTAGTCACAGGTAGTAGTGCAACAACAGAAGACAAGAGCCAGGCAACAGATCATTTATTAAGGAAATCAACACATATGGGTTTTCATGTACATATTATAGATTATTGTTAGCAGAAAAGCACAGTCTTCTGATTGGTTGTTTCTCACAGAAAGTTAACCTTGCATCTCTTTGTGGCTGTTTCTTGAATGTCAGATTATCTACATATTAACTGTATCCTCCTACGCAAAGCCTATGTTCTCATTTTTCTCACGACCAATATTGGGGACATAAACATTGACGTAAATTACTGTCCATCAATTTTGACTAACAGACAGCTGTCACCACAGTAGTCTCACAAAGCATCACACTGGGACACACATTCGCGCAGTAGATGTCGTAGTTCATTGCCAAGTACAGCATGGAGTTGGATTACAAGTATCCGCTTTGATATTACAGATACTTTCGGCGTATAACATTGGATGACGCTGGTGGAAAAATAAGCATGTGGATCATTAGGCTTCAATCCAACTCAGTTGAATCCCTAATGGGGTCATGACTGCCTACTGCTGAAGAGTCCCAAAAACTAAGACTGAAAAGGTAACCAGTATAGTCGGTCAGGTTTCAAACGATCTTCCAACTAACAACATCAGAGTGTAGTGAAATCTATCATTTTAAATCAAGTCGAATCCCCACAGTCAATGGTTTCATTCAAACGTTACTATGAGACATTCTAGTTGTGTGTAAAATATCAATCAATTCATGTCATAAAAACAACAAGTAATAAGACGATAAGAGAACCTTGTGAACACTTTCCAACATAGGGCACCTTCAAGCTAGAGACTTGAAGTTTCGGTAACAGTGGTGTTTTCTTTTACAGGTTGGGGTTGCTGGCCTCATACCCAACCTTCCCTCTTTACTAGTCTTATTACTTACTGGCTTAGCGAGGTAAAGGAGTGCATTGGTGGTCGGGGATGGAATCCCTGACCACATGAGGCATGGTCAACAAGCACTCAGTCGCTCAGCCACCAAACATCCTACTGCTATGCCACCAACGCACGACACAGAGAGGTTAATCATTGAATATTTGTTTATCAAATCCATACCAAACACATGCAATCGAAATGATCCAAAGCCTACCTACCGAAGATATGGAAAATTGCAAAAAAACAACAAATGGAGCGTGCCTAGAAGGGAGAGTGACAGATGTATACATATGTTGCGAATTATGAAACCGTGTGAGCAATACTTATTGATATGGTTATTGAGCAGCAATAAACTGTACTCGAAACGCCATCCAGTAACTTAATACTGCATCATCCAACTGTGTGTGTGTGTGTGTGATATTTAAAATAAGCTTCTCTAGTGTGGAATTACATTCTCCACCCACACAGTGTACGAGTTTCTACACTTACATTAATTAGGATAAAACAGCTATCATCCAATAGTCTCTGGGTTTTTTACAGTCGTTAAAAATCAATCACGAACTGATAGAAATCAGAATTCATGTGCACTGACCATTTCGTTCAGTCCTAATGGCTGAGAGTGATCAACGACCACATTGCTTCATAAATTTGAAGGTCTTGGATTCGATGATCTCCCATAGGCAGGGTCATGGTCGTTGATATATGTATAAAACTTGGGCACTGTGGTGGTAGAGTATAACTCCATTATAGATAAGATTTTATTTTGATAAAGTGTCACACAGTGTAGTGTTATACAGTAATATTAACTGATGACCACGTTTCGAACACAAACTGTTTATATATATGTTGTGTGGAATCGATTAGATATTGGAATAAAAATCAATATGGGATAATGTACATTCAGAAATAATAATAATATGAGTGTTATCAATCCAGTGCAATCAGATGGGAAATAAGACGAGTGATTGTATAGTCATAATAAGTGACTTGTTAGAATGCTGTGATATGCTTGAATCGAAATAGAATTTTGAGATTATTTATTATCCTCCTCTGATTTGACTGACTGGTGGTAATAATATCTTCCATGCATATCTCTGGTATTTGCATTGAGTCATTTCTGTTGCATGTGTTGTGTTGGGTGTAGACTCAATGAACCCGGCAGGATTCAGTAATCAATCTCCTCGCTGTCAACCTACTTAAATTGCTTCTTAGAATTTTAACCCTCCTCCACCATATTGTGTGGTTGTGTGTTAATGCATGCAGTGCAGTGTAGTGCTGAGATTTTTTCTGAAATACTTATCTTTTCGCCGTCAACCACTCTTACCTTAGCCACTAAATTCTTATGTTCTGACAATCTGAATACCCTTTCCCCTCAACATACTAGTTACACCTATGTAGTTGACCTCTCTCATTCACAGTCATTGCAGGGTATTTTGTAAATTATATGATTTCGTCTAATTGGATCAACAGGGTCCCTGAGTGAGTTTGTAGGTTTAAATACCACTTTAATTCCTTCTTTATTCAGAATCCTACTTACGGTATAACAGTAGATGACTTATATTCTCTCTTATTTATGTTATTATTTTAATAGTTTCACAATTATTTTTATTTTGTTTTTGGCCTTTACTGATCTTCCTAATGAATTTTATAGGATAGTTAGTTATTTGATACCAACACCTCTTCTATCTGTTTTATTTCTTCATTGAGGTCTTTCCTTGTTCTACTTAGTATTATGGCTCGGTTTGTTAGACACTTAACTAAGCCTGCCATAACAGTTAACGGATGAGGTGATGAATTAAAGTCTAAGCATCTATTAGTAGAATGCTTTGGCATTTTATAAGGCATCCTTCATAAAAAGGTCATGGCTGTGTATTGCTGAAGAGTCTCAAGTCAGGTTGAAATAGTTGTTTATTACTCCCCTATGAAAATTTATCCTTCTTATTGTATCTTTATTCCTCTTCTTCCTCTTATTTTTTTTTCAGTCATCCTAGTGATTTAGAAGAAGCCCAAGATAGTGAAAGTTCAGATGACAATTCCCTGGTGGAAATTGACCAGTTAAGCACTACTGTTAGTAAAAAACCGACTACTGAAAAAGATTTCTCATCAGCTTCAGGGGATATCAAATTGTTGGTGACATCAGTGACAACGGAAACGACAACGACAACTGCCTCCGCAGCAACAGCAGTGACCAAAAGTCCTGATACTCCACCGATGAATGGTGGTGGTGTAATATTTCCTAATCAAGAATCTATCAATCATATACATTCACCGACTAATAATCATAATGATAATTATAACAATCCATTGTTAATTGATAGTACCACTAATGGTCTACGATTTATGACACCTCCGCCTAAACATGAAAATGTTATACCAGGTATTACTATTATTATTATTCGTTTTGTATTTGTTAACTGATAATGATATCAAGTGTTTTGTTTTGCAAAGACTTGATTGGTTTCAAGATTGATCACAGGTTGATGCCAGTTAGAGAACCACTGGAAAACGCGGACGGAGGGGGTATTGGACAGCTGTTTCATCCCTCAGTATGTACCATCCCTGGGGTCTCTAGCCTTGGACTTGTTGGTTACAGTGGGGTTTTCATAGACCATGCAGTTATTGGGACCCGTTTAATGGCCGCCAGTGAATTCCTGTTTCTACCGATTTGTGATATACATTTAACGGAACCGCCCGCGGGGTCCTGCCAAGTCAGACAAGAGGACAGTGTTATTCACCTATCACACTGACTAGAGGTTAAACCATATATATATATATATATATATTTATCACGAAATAACAGAAGTTGGAATTCATGGAAGCTCCTGAGTTCGAACTCTGAGAGCGTACTGATGAAGAGTCCAAGACTTGGACGAAACGGTTGTACAGTATTTTCAGCTTGGTTTTCCAATGATTCTCTAACCAGTTGGTGTCAATTAGTGATCAATGCTAAAATAATGTGTGTTACCTAGTCATCACTACTAACTAACTAGTTAAACGCAAATCTTCCAAATTTACTCATGTTTGATTTCGGTTACATGGAGACAATGGTCTTTTATGTACTAGCGTAAAAATCAAAGAAGATAAGAATTTAAACACACTAGTGTGTTTACAGGAAATCCACACATTCATGCAGATATATGGACTTACGATCATCCCATTCTACGTCAGTGAAAATAGGATTAGTGAAATGTTTGAGTAAATAGGGCACAAAAACTGAGTAGTACCAAGGAAAATCTAAGACAGGAAGTAAGGCATACAAGAGAAGCTTTGAAACTTAATAATTACCCTGATAAATTAGTCAGAGAGTATGTAGGAAAATGTAAAAATGAAATAAATAATGATAGTAGTGATAGTGATAGCAATAATAATAGTAATATTAATGACAATATGCATGTCATACGTGCCCATGATAGTGAAAACACCAACAATAATGAATCTAAATCATCAGTAGTAATTCCATACAAGGAAGGAACCTCGGAAACTAACTACCTTACGCAGAATTCTTAACAAGGCAGGAATAAAAGTGGCTGGCATTCAAACAACTCACAAACTCAATTAGAAACAAGCTTTGTCGGTTAAAGAATCATTCCTGTGGAGCCAATTAAACAAAACAATTCACTTTATCTAATAACCTGCCTGCAATGATTGTCAGGTCAAATACATAGGTCAAACTAGTAGAACAGGGTCAGTCAGTCAGTCAATCAGACTAGCCACGTATAAAAACCCACCAGCAAAATCTAGATTAGTTGACCTGAGTAAGATAAGAAATCTGGAGAATAGTGCAGCTATACCACACTACATGCAATTACACACAACCATCCATAAAATAGGATGGGATAGGATAACAGTTTTAAAATCTAATATAACAGAAGCTTTGTTCATGGAATCAATTGCAAACCAACACGTGTAATAGGAATCATTCAGTACCTGCCCACCCAGATATCTGGAAAATTTTACTACCCCTACGCCGACAGATAGGAGAGAACAAAGAAGACTATAAAACTCAAGTTTCGAAGTCGTGTAATTATAATTGATGATATGATTCTGAACAGTAATAGATTGTGTTCGAAACGTCATCCAGTAAATAATATTGTTTCTCTTGCTGTGTGATAAATTTAATAAACAAACTAATATGGAATTACGTACTACAACAGTGCTCATGTTGTACACATATATTCAAGTCAAAAACTCTAGATGTGGTTCTTCTGCTTCGATCTGGGCACCTGACAACTTCTTCATGAAAGTTGTTTAGTGCATCTTTGAATACCTATAATGCGCCACGTTCATGTTTTAGTAAATTAAAACGTCCACTGGTGGAACTCTGTCAGCAATAACACAAATGACTGAAGACATGACACATTTTTACTCTCGACTGACCAATCAGTGTGTTCAACACAGTCCCAGTGGAGGTCAGTCCAGAGCCTCGATATATAAAATAGCTCTCAGTGATATAATATATTACAGGATTTCATCATAAGCTGACATTGGTTAAGTAACCATTGGAAAACCTGCAGGGAGTACTGGACAGCTGTTTCGTCAGCCTAGTTTGGGACTCCTCACAGTACGCACCCACCCGGGTTCGAACCCAAGACCTTCTGGTTAAAAGGCCAGCGAGCTCGTAGACCATTTATGAGCCACTGGGACCCGATCCAATGGCCAGTCAGTGCATGAATTCTAACTTCTGCCAATTCACGATATAGCACAACCGCTAGCCATGCCATCCATGGTGGGTATTTGTCTTCACACCCGACCTACTGCACCCTTACTGGTCACGACGTCCCACTAGAACCCCCAGGTAACTACCCACCTGAATAGGGCTGGTCGCCAATGAGGATCTCATTGATATTCAGGTAATGGTTTGTAGGGATTTGATTGACTGGTTACAGGGTAGTTTAGAGTGACTACTACTATTCATGAATCGAGGAGAGTATTCCAGTGTGATCTACACACATTTACGTGCTGTTTTCTAACTTTCTTCGCCCTCTCCCCCCTTTCTTTCTTTAAGTTTCAATTGACAATGATCATTTTCATCAGAACAGCAATAACACCACTCATGATGATTCAAGAACTACACTAAAATCAATAATTACACCATCAGAAGAACCACCTATTGTTATAACTAATTTAAAAACTGATCGCAGTCTAAAGTCAACTCGTAAATATGCCACAGATCAAGATCCCACGGATAATTTCATCAATGGTGGTAGTAGTACAGATAAGATTATTAATAATAATGACGATAAATCGTCAACTCTGTTGACCAACCAGTCATCACGTCTACCCTCAAGAACATCAACCAATAAACCACCTGTTGGTACTCCACCTCGACGTCTTTCACCACCTTTTATTCCGCCTACTATATCCTCCTCCTCCACCTCCTCGCCCGCCTCTTCCTCGACGTCATCATCATCCAACTTGTCGTCTACAGATGCTTCAAAGCCAAGTGATAAAATATCGAATATTATTAGTCAAGAAGACAATAGTAATAATAACAATAATAATACTAGTAACATTACAGAAAGTAAGTATAAAACCGGTATTGTTAGCATTATACCAGCGCCAAGAAGAAGACGTTCTATTGATGAAGATGCTGAGAAAGAGTCATCATTATCAAAGACTGGAGTAAAAACAGATACACTATCATCGACATCATCAATTACTTCGTCGACTACAACTTCACTAACGACAACCACTGCATCGACAACAACGCCACCAAGGACAGGAAGAACAATCACTAAAATTATTGCTGTTAAGCCTAGGGTAAGTTCTTCTTCATTTCGTTCCTTATTTCGCATAATTTCATATCTCTATGTGTTACATATAGACTAGAGTTTTGGGATGATATTGTCCTCCTTCACTGGTGAGTTTTCTGAACACTTTGGCCAGGAGGATAGCTTCAGATGTTATTCTCTCCTGTTGAATGTGTCTGCCTGTCTGTTTTCGACATAGAACTTTACACTTATGTGCGACAGTTCGAGTCGCCACACTTCCTCCTTGTTACCACACGAGATGTTCGACTATCGACCCAAGGGCGGGTGTACTACTCATCAGTCCGCTCTGTCTTCCTTTATGGCTGGCTGTGAGACCTGGCCACTGAGAGTGGAAGACATGAAAAGGCTGACTAGCTGTCTTTGATCATAGGTGCCTGCGCTCTATTTCCCATGTAAAGTGGTATAATAAGGTGAGCAACATGGAGGTTAGGCTTCGGTCGAGTTCTAGGTAAACAGGGGAAATCAATCGACGAAGTCGTGAAGTTACAAAGAGTGAGATGGTTAGGACATGTGTTACGCATGCCTAGCCAGTCATCGCCTCCGTCGACGAGCAATGTTAGCGGATATAGGGTCAGGCTGGAAAAAAGCTAGCCAGCGGCGGTCAAACAAAAACTTGGCTTCACCAGTCAATGAAATCCACAACAGTTGGTCTAAGCCACGTAGAAAGGTGTAGACTTCCTGACTGGCCGGTTGGGGTCCTCGGGACGGTAAAAATCTATGGTAGGAAACAATTGGTGACATGGCTCGAAGTGATCGTTCGCAGTGGCTAGTGCAGATGCATCCACTCCTTGTGACTTATGATCTCCAATGAAACTATTTTGTTCTTCGTTATTACTACTCCTTTGTCTCACACCTCTGCTCACTGTTTCTATTATGCTTTTCTTGTACTTTCTCTTGCTTTGTATGCTACAAGGAGGGAGTGTGGCGACTTGAACTTCCGCACATTTGTGCAAAGTTCTATGTCGAAAAGAGAAAGACAGACAGACCACACAAAGCAACAGAAGAAAGTAAAAAGAAATGCATAATAGAGACAGTAGACAGAGGTGTGAGACAAAGGAATACTAATAACGAAGAGCAATATACTTTCATTTGAAATCTTAAGTCACAAGTAGTGGATGCAGTTTCGCCAGATATTGAGAACGACGATTTTGAGCCATATCACCAATTGTTTCCAACCATTGGTTTTTACTGTTCTGAAGACCTCAACCAGCCAGGAAGTCTACACCTTCCTACGTGGCTTAAACTAACTATTGTGGATTTCATTGACTGATGATGCCATGTTTTGGTTTCACCACCACGGACTCTTTTCCAGCCTTACCCTATGTCGTCGAGGAAGGAGATAGCTGACTAGGCATACGTAACACATGTCCTAACCATCTCAGTCGATGTAACTTCACAGCCTCTTCTATTCATTTCCCCTCCCACCTACTTAGCTGGCACTCTACTGATGTCTAACCTAAATATTGCTCACCTTATTATACAAGTTCACACGGGAAATAGAACACAGGCACTTATGATCAAAGACAGCTAACCAGTGTTTTCATGTCTTCCACTCTCAGTGGTCAGGTCTCACAGCCAGCCATAAAGGAGGACGGAGCGGACTGATGAGCAGTACACTCGCCCTTCAGTCGATAGCCAGCCGGATATCACGTCTAAGCCAGAGACGGCGTAAACGGTGAATTTGTGTAAGATGATGATGCTGTGGCTGCTGCAGGATTGGATTACACTGACTCTTAGCTTATCGATTATCGAGTGAAGTAGCAGGGCGTAGTGACCACTCCTCTTATAAAACAGAAAGATTGAGCCAGCGAAGAAATATTTACTTTTCAATTAGATCCTCATCTCACTCTGGCTCTACTCTAATATACACAGAGAGCATTTTTATTACAATACACAACAATTTACCAGTCAAGTGGCACTGATATGTTTGTTAACAATAATTAGTCAGTGTCAAAATGTCAGTGGAGTGATAATTAACGAAGAAAATCAATACACACAATTAAAAGGTAGAAATGGTTAGAATAAATTAATTTTTCAAGGATAACACGTAAATTAAAGATGAAATGGTTAAAATAAATAAAATAAAATAATTTAGACAATTATAATTTTGAAATGTTTAGGTGGAGGGGAGCGAATTAGTCCTGTTTATACATTCATGTAACGATGGCCAGGGCAAGGAAAGTAGCTGTACAAATTTCTTCTGAACACACAAGTTTGGCTTCTTCTTCTTCAGGTGGATTCCTATTGCTTCAGCTGTCTTTAGAAGACGAACTCGTAGAGCAAGATTAAGATTAGTCGGAATGCGATAAATAATTTCAAATGCAGTATTAACGTCAACCTTATGTTCACTATCTACAATGTGTGCTAACATAGAGCTACGAATAGATCTCGTTTGTCCCTTGCCTAACCATATTGGATGATGTTCGGAAATACGATGATGAACCTGCCTAATTATACGCCTAATGTAGCTGGTTCCGCAGCTGCAGTCAAACTGGCAGATACACATAGAAGAGGCAAATTTAGGTAGTTTATCCTTATTATATCTCGAACGTAGAATAGGGGTGGTTGTGAAGAGATAACGTACCTCTACCTGCATAATAAGCTCTTTTAACTGCATTCCTCAAGCACTGTGTTGTTATTTCGCTAATGTTGTCACTGAGGAACTGCAGTTTTATGAACATTGGTTGGTTTTTTCGGGAACTGTTCCCATATTGACTGTCTGTTCTAGGTGCTGAATTAATTCATATTTTTCTCAATGAATTTATCTGGATAACCACTTTTTTTCTAAGTAATTTTCTAATAATCTTAAGCTCCTCCTCATTGAGGCAATCGTCTGAACAGATTAACTTAGATATGATAGAGAGGATTTGTAGCTCAGGTGGATGATTTTGATGTGGTTTTGTTCTTTGAGCTGGATGGTTAGTTTGCGAAGCTTTCATCGCCCTACTGGGTAACATCTTCAGCGCATACTTCAATTTGAAGTAAGCTTTTAGATTTCTCCACGAGTTTATTAATCAAGTCAAAGAGCACAATCAGTTCCAATACAAGTAACCTAGAAGGTGTGAAAACACACACAAACAATCAATCACGTCCAAGGTCACTAGGAGGGATGATTAATAAACTCGTGGAGAAATCTAAAAGCTCACTTCAAATTGAAGTATGCACTGAAGATGTCACCCAGTAGGGGGGGGGTGGGTGATGCATCCACTCCTTGTGACTTATAATACCCAATATAACTATATTGCTCTTCGTTATTACTATTCCTATGTCTCACACCTCTGTTTACTATCTCTATTATGCATTTCTTCTACTTTCTTCTCTTGCTTTGTGTGATACAAAGAGGGAGTGTGGTGACTTGAACTGCCGTGCATCGGTGGAAAGTTCTTTACCGAAAGCAGGCAGACAGACTCTAGATCCACCAGTGGTCAAATGCATTCATTCCTTTAATTATCACAATCACTAATAGTTGATTTCTGAGTTGTAGTCATAATAAGCCACTGCATCTCCTCCCTCATCCTCACACACACATACATTTATTTTCTTATTCTCTTTTTAATATCAGCGGTCTTTGGTCAAAGTGACTCCACTTTGAAAAGCTCATTGGTTTGGCGTCGGTGGCATAGCGGTTAGGACGCTCGCCGACCATACACATGGTCCGGCGTTCGATCTCCGGCCACTGACGCACTCCTTTACCTTGCTAAGCCAGAAATAATGCTAGTAAAGAGGGGAGGTTGGGCATGAGATTAGCAACCCCATTCTGTAAAAATAAACACCACTGCTACAGAAACTTCAAGCCACTAGCTTGAGGCCGTTTGTTCCACTGAGGAACGTGAAGGAATATATATATTTATATATATATATGGCGATGAATACCACTGAAATCTTAGTGTATTTGTAAAGCCACAAAATTCATAATAGCTTTCCTTAACACTGATTTTCACTGATCTTTCCTTCTATTTTTATTTTAGAGAAGTGATCCACAAAAGGCGAATACTACTACTACTACGACCTCGAATAGTGGTAATACTGAAGAGAAAGACGTCTCAGTATCGTCGAATAATTCCCATCTTGACACGGATTCTAATAGTTCAGCCTCTGAATATACAACTAATCGAAGGTGAGCTGATGATTGAAAAAAAACTGTTGTGTTTCTACTTTGATTTTTTTTTGCTGTTGGCTTGATTCACTGTGTTTTAACGTGTGTGTATAACTGGGTGGTGGTTCAATGGGGTTAGTAGAATTCTCGCCAATCATGCCACAAGTGGTGTCTGGCTTCGAATTTCCTCAGTCGATGCATTCTTAAATGTCTTTTAGATATGTAGTGGAGAAGATATTTGTAGCTCAGGTGGAGGATTTTCATGTGGTTGTGTTCTCTGAGCTAGCTAGATGGTTTATATTTGTGAAGCTTTCATTACTCTACTTACTAGGCAACATCTTCCTTCAGCGCATACTTCAATTTGAATTGAAGTCAGCTTTTAGATTTCTCTACGACTTTAGAAGTCATCTCTCTTGATGGCTGACCTTAAACGTTGTGATTGGTTGTTTTTGGTACTGATTGTTTTTTACTTGACGTGAAGTTTGACCCTTTTGTGTATGAGATTTCCTTATTATCGATTGGTAAATTTTGTCTGTGTCAATGTGTCTGCTGATTGATGATTTAGTGGAATACCAGGCTGCTAAAAAAAATCCTCTGGCATTCTTGGTATTTCCGCTGTCGAATATGTTAACGTTGTTTGGCCCAGACAACCACGGATATCAACCTCATCTAATTCACTAGTCGATAGCAAGCCTGATGAAGATGGAAGGTTGGATTAAAAACACCACTGCTTGCTGCTGAAAGTTCAAGACTCAAGTTGGAAGCCTCATGTTCCACTCGTCGAACGACCGAGCACGTGAATTGATAAACACATATAGAGTTGGCCAACAGTGTGATCTTGTCCTTCAGATTATTTAACAGTAATGGTCGACAAGTAAAAGCTATTCTCAGAGATTCAGCAGAGAATGTTCTTTTCCTAAACTGTGGTGTCCTTCGTTTTAATGATAAATTCGTTGAAAAGAGTCTCTTCCCTGAATCACTATTTGTTTTGATTTTCCAAATATGAGTTACCTGACAGAGGCTATATCAATGCGTGGCTACATGAGAGAGAGAGAGAGAGTATTTCAAGGGGAGGGCTGAGGGGTATTCCCCACCATCTTTGGTTGTACTAGGTCATTTATGATAGCTAACGTTCTTTGTATAATTGTTTCTTGTTAATTATCTCTCCTTCATATCACAAATGTGATAATTTAATTATTTCTTTTTTCCCGCCCGTAAAATTTATTTACACCCTCACTAGAATATCTGTTGTTATGGCGCCAACAAAATCAGGTGAAACAGAGACACAACGAAGTGTTAAAGCACGATATGTTCGATCTACTCGCCGGTCTACACAAGGTGTTACATCAGATGATGTAGAACAAGCCAAAAAATTAGTTGATAAAAATAATAGCGCCGCTGTTGTTGGTATCCCTAGTCAACCGAATGATGATGTCACAAAATCTGTAAATACCTCCTCCTCCTCCTCACCGATGAAAAATCGTTCCACATTAGACAGTGCAAATGGTTTGCGTCGATTTACCGAAAATGATTTGGTGATGAGTTCACGGTCAACTAATGATAATATACCAACGACGACTACTAGCAGTGTTGGTGGTGAATCTGGTGGACGACTGTCATCACGTAATGACTACTCAACAAATATTGGTCGTGAAAATAATCATATTGTAAGTTTCACTTTAGGTTTCTTTGTCTCTTTAGTCATCATTTTTTAAATGTGAATTTCTTGTTTTTTATGTCAGTGATGACTGTATTTTATAATTACTGGATGTCATCATAAGGGGTGATATTAGTTAGTTAGAGAACCATTGGCGAACCAAGTAGGGAGCACTGGATAGCTTTTTCGTCCGAGTCTGGGACTCTTCATTTGTGCGCGTCTACGAACAGGGTTCGAATCCAGGACCTTCCGGTTACAAGGTGAGCCTGGAGACGATTCAGCCACTGAAACCCGATCCAATGGCTTGCCAATAAGGTGAGCAATATTCAAGTTAGGCATCGTTCGAATGCTATGTAGGCGGCGGGGGGGGGGAATCAATCGACGAGGCTGTGAACCTACTACATCGATTGAGATGGTCAGAACATGTGCTATTTTAGTAGTGTTCTCTGAGGTGGTTGGTTTCGTTGTGGTGGAGCTTTTATCGTACCCTATATGGACAACATCCCCTTTCAGTGCAATTTTTAGCACAAAGGGAACTGATTTAAATTTTTTTTTCCATGAGTGATGATAGAATTGCGTCTCCCGGTAACCATCTTTACATATCTATTGATCATTTCCTGTTTACTTGGATTTCACAGCTGATTTCTGTCCTGTGTTCCTGGATTCTGATTCGAAGGGAACGCCTACCTAGTTGATCGATGTAATAATTAATGTCTGTTACAATTCATGCATGCAATTTATTATTTTTTTAAATAGTATTAATTTTATCTCCTTTTTCTGTTGGATGGGTCTTATGGTTTTCACAATATCAAATGAAGTGATTGTTCTGACTGGTTTGTGTGTTATATCTATTTCAAACGGTTTCAATTTTCTAGCTGTTAATTCAGAGATATTTTTTTTCTGATATATGGTAAGATGAATTTTCTTGTGATCCTGGTTGATGATGATTTCTTGTTAGTGTTTTGATTCGACTTCAAACACCTTTGGATGAAATTGTTTGAGGATATGCATTCTCTTTGAAGACTGTTTTGTTAGTGGGTATGTGTGTGTGTGTGTGTTTGTTTGAATTCTTTTAAACAATGGTTAGGACATGTGTTGCGTATCCATGCCTAGCCATCGGCTTCCTCGACGACAGGCAATGTAAGCTGACATAGGGTCAGGTTGAAAAAGAGCTAGCCCACTGGTAGTCAAACCAAAACATGATTTCATCAGTCAATAAAATTCACAATAGTTAGTTTAAGCCAGACACAGGGGGAGGTTGGCGTCTTCATGGACGGTAAAACCCAACCCCTCACATTTAACCTTTGTACAAGTACAAAATGATAATTCAGTGATGATGAAGCTGATTTGTAGGTGGGGCGGTATAACAGTAATCTGATTAAAGTTAATTAGTGTGTTCGTTATTTCGATGGAACTAAAATTGGAAGGAATATTTCCTCTTTTGTGATAGATTTTACTCCCTAACTAACAGCCCAATAATTACAATAGGCAGTTAGCTGACATCTTGAATCGTCCAGATCCAAAGTTTTTGCTGTCTTAATTCTGTGAGTTTTAGGTTCTTCCAGCGTTGGTTGACTTACGAATACAGTAGTTTTCGAGGAAGGTGGTGACACTTAAGAGTTAGTTGGCGATTTACGCTCTCCCCCACCCCACCCTGTCTTGTTCCCTCATACACATAAAAAGTAGAGGCGAGAATAGGTACATCGCGTCTTCTCATATACTCCACTGTCAAATTGAGAATTGGTAGAAGTTTAAATTCTCTATTCATTGGCACTTCTTCTAACCTGAAAGTCATGAGTTCAAACTCCGGTATGCTTTTTTTTAACACTGAAGAGTTCCAACCTAGGACGAAACAACTATTTAGTACTTCTGGATGGTGTTTTTTTGCTGTAGTTCGTTAACTGATATTATCAGTTAGCTGGTTGTGATAAAATCAGTTTTGAATACTGGTCAGTTGAAATCGGTTTTGATTTGTAATGAATGAAGGTTATTTTCAAGTATTGGTTTTTGTAGGGATTTTGTTTGATTGCATGGAGGATTTAATCATGAGCTGACATCAGTTAGAGAACCACTGGAAAACCTGGGAGTACTGGACAGCCGCTTCGTCCTAGTTTGGGACTCCTCAGCAGTACGCACCCACCGGGATTCGAACCCAGGACCTTCTGGTTACAAGGCTAGCGAGCTCGTAGACCATTGAGCCACTGCGACCCGATCCAATGGTCCTTGAATTCTAACTTCTGCCAGTTCACGACATAGCGCGACCACTTCGCAATGTCTTCTTCGATGAGTTACTGCCTCATCTTCGACCTGCTGTACCCTACTGGTCACGGCTTCCCACTAGAACCCCAGGTTAACTGCCTGAATAGGGCCAGTCACTAGTGAGCATCAGATGAATTTTCAAGTATTGGTTTTTGTAGGGATTTTGTTTGATTGCATGGAGGATTTAATCATGAGCTGACATCAGTAACCAGAAGGTCCTGGGTTCGAATCCCGGTGGGTGCGTACTGCTGAGGAGTCCCAAACTAGGACGAAACGGCTGTCCAGTACTCCCAGGTTTTCCAGTGGTTCTCTAACTGATGTCAGCTCATGATTAAATCCTCCATGCAATCAAACAAAATCCCTACAAAAACCAATACTTGAAAATTCATCTGATGCTCACTAGTGACTGGCCCTATTCAGGCAGTTAACCTGGGGTTCTAGTGGGAAGCCGTGACCAGTAGGGTACAGCAGGTCGAAGATGAAGGTTATTTCTTGACATGATTTGTTTCCTGTATTATAATTTTTGTTGTTGTTGATTCCTGTCTGTCTGTCTGTTTTCGACATAGAACTTTGCACAGATGTGCGGCAGTCTAAGTCAGCAAACTCCCTTCATGTAGCACACAAAGTAAGAGAAGAGAGTAGAAGAAATGCATAATAGAGACAGTAGACAGGAATATGAGAGAAAAGAAATAGTAATAACGAAGAACAATATAGTTTCATTGGAAATCATAAGTCACAAGGAGTGGATGCATCTGCACCAGCCAGCCTTTGAGAACGATTTTGAGCTAACCATATCACCAGTTGTCTCCAGCCTTCATTGGTTTCTTAACGCCTTGAGGACTCCAACCAGCCAGTCAGAAAAGTCTACACCTCCCATCGTGGGTGGGGCTGGCTTAAACTAACTGTTGTGGATTTCATTGACTGATGAAGTCGTGTTTTGGTTTGACCGCCACCTGCTTTCTCGTTTCCAATTTGACCCTATGTCATGTAACTTCGCCCAATCGTCGCGGAAGGCGATGGCTAGGCAGGCGTGACACATGTCCTAACCATCTCAATCGGTGTAACTTCACAACCGCGTCGATTGATTTCGCCTCCTTACCTAACAATCACTCGATTGATGCCTGACCTCAGTATTGCTCACCCTATTATACCATCACCTAACACGGGAGATAGAACGCAGGCACCTATGATCGAAGACAGTTAATCTTTTCATGTCTTCTACCCTCAATGGCCAGGTCTCATTCACAGTCATAAAGGAGGACGAAGCAGACTGCTGAGCGGTACACACGTCCTTCGGTCGATAGCCAGCCGGATGTCACGCCTACTGGCATATGCGAAACTAGCCCTCTGTATCCGTAATGAAATTTCATCAGAGATCAACCCGTTGGTGTTGGCTGATGCTACTTTCCAAATAAGTGAAGTGGTCAACACGCTCCATCAACCACTTCACTGCCTATTTCTAAACTAGGAATGAGTCGATGTAGTCCAGTCCAGTCCACTCCTGTAGCATCATCTTACATTTGACAGCAGGAGTGAATCGCATGCCAAACATTCGTAGATTTCAACAGAAGGTGTTCGGAAGACTGCTGGATTTTGTCAACGTCTTCACCTAGGTGGGAGGACTATATCCTCTGCATATTCTAAGTCAACGAGACTATTATTCCCTGTTGTTGTTGTTGTTGTTGATTTGTTTGTCTGAGTAATTTTACAATCACAGTACATAAAATAAAATTTTAAAAATGTGCTTGTGTCCTGATTATTACATAAATACAGTAGGATTATTAACAGTTGCTTAGTTATTTTGATTTGACACTAGTAACTAGTGTGATGTGTCTAGTCCTCTCATTGGTGCAGACTGAATTCTATCAGTCAGTCAGGTTTGCAATGTGGCCACCATGGTAGGTGGATCGCCATTACGGTGCACTGTGAATTGTTGGTATTAGATGGTTGGAGGCAATCGGCCATAGGAAGGTGTTATGTTCTGCTGCTGAGTGAATTAATTGAGTTTTCCCCGTCGCCAAATTGTTATGTACTTGTCGCTAAATTATTGTTATGGACTGGTCGAGAAACTAATAGTCCTGACGCAAGAAAGACGGAAATCAGAAGACCACTAGGTTTGCGATGATACTTCCATTTCCAAACACAAGGAGAATGCAAAAGTGGTATCACACCAAAGTAAGTAAGTGTAAGTAAGTCACACAAATTGTGTGTGCGAAATATATATGAAATGTTCCAGACAAAGTGTGTGAACAAATCATTAGACAGTCTTAACATGAATGGCTAATTATAATGAAGCATCGATCCATATATACATAGCGAAATATAGCAGACATGTCAACAACCACACATATAATATGGATATATGTCACCAAGCAACGGACTGTCAACAAACACTCATATTATATATAATATAAGGGGAATATACATTGTTAAAGGAGACAAGTTCATACAAGTGAAATGGTCACAGACTAAGAGAGCAAACAGAAAGAGAGACCAACATACACACACACATAAATATATATATGTGGATACATATCAGAAGCCTTGCCTGACCTAGGTTTCGTGCTAGTTGGTACTCACCAGCCAGTCAGCAAGGCGTATCTACAACCACCTTGAAGGAATTCATGTCCCTCCTTCTGAGATTTGAACCTGCGTCACTCAGTGAAGGCTGCAGTCAGAGACGTTACCATCTAATATCATCAAATCAACGTGCACCGTGATGGTGGCGAGCTGCCTAGAATGGTGGCCACA